CCAAATTTTATTTTAATTTTTCTTAATTTTTTTTTTGAGAATATTAAAACTATTTATTGAGTCTAAAATGCAATATGTGGTGTTGAGGTGGGGCAAGTAGCGGTGGGGTGTATATTCATTATTACACCCTGTCCTCGGACCAGCCGAAAACTGATTCTATCTTATTTTATTATTATTTTACGTGATATCGTTTAATTATTTTTCGTTTTTTATTCATGTGATATAGTTTGACTTGATATGACAATTAGAAAAAGCTAGAATTGAAGAGCTCCTCTCCTTTCTAACTTAAGGGGTCGTAAACAAAACCCTGAAAAATAGTATCGAATGTATCTTTCGTTGTTAATAGAATTAAATTAAATTAGTAATTCAAATCAACAAAAGATATTATCGGTAATGAGTTGTTGATTTAGCGATTTTGATAACAATTTAAGTTTTATTTTGTTATCGATTTTTAATGGTTTAAAATTTTTTTAATGGATTTATCGATAATTCAATAATAAATTCAATAGTTATATTTATATCATTTTGTATATAAAGTTTTTGATTTAAAATTTCGTTTTCTATTTTTATTTTTTGTTGTCTCAAATTCTTGGTTATTATACAAAAGTGTTTGTTTTTTTGTTAGTGTGATATTTTAATGTTAATAAAAATGTAGACATATATGTATCATGTTATGTCCATCGGTGGTTTAAGCATTACATTAGTGCCCATTACTCTCATCAGATTTGGTAGAAAATGGTCATTATTCTTGTAACTCGTATAACTTTTTGAGCTAATCATTTACCCAATTTACTAAATTTTATCTCTCTCCTCGCTGCTAGGAGAAATAGTGTGGTCTTACATTGTGTTGAGTACACAACAAATGTATATGAGAAAGAGGGTAAGAAATGATTAGAAGTATTATATTGTGTATATATTGAGTTAGAGTAGTGAAAGAGAGAGTTGAGATAAAGAAAAATATACTAAATCTTCAACTAATTCATTATACAAATGAGAGTACTTATATGTTGAATGAACAAGTGTTTTTTTGGTGCTTTTGACTCTTCAACTAAATGCAGAATTGATCGTATTGTACAACGTTACGGTGTTAGGTTATTGTATCCTGGATAGGGACATGTGATATTGTCAGGTCGATGTAAATTATGTCAAGA